CTCCTGCTGGAATATGCTTCGGGACTGTTTGCTCATCACAGGTAGGAAGGCCCAAGGGTGTGAGGCGGCAGCACGGTGTTTCTCAGCATGCACGTACCCCTGGATCTTGGACCGAGTTCTTGCCCATCTTACTCCCTGAAGGTTACAGGGGTTCAGGGGAGGAGCCATCTTGGAACCAGCCCCAGGCTGTGGGGCAGCACAGGGGCTCACCAGGCTCTCATGTCTGTCCTTGGACCGTTGCAGCCTGTGGCAGCTGGGAGTGGATTACTTTGACTACTGCCCTGAGCTCGGCCGCGTTTCCTTGGAGCTGCACATTGAACGCATCCCCCTGAGCACTGAGCAGAAAGCCCTTAAGGTGCTGCGGATATGTGAGCAGCGGCAGATGACCGAGCAAGGTGAGCCCGCCCTGCCCCTAGCGGGCTTTCTGCTCATGCTGCGCCAGCCAGACTGGAGAGAGGCCGGGCGTTGGGGTCAATAAATAAGCCAGAACAGGAAAATTATTGAGGAAGGACAAACAACTAGGGATCCATCAGGACTTGTAAGCAGTGGAACACATTGCCTTTTAAAAAGATCCTGACCCACTTCCTCTCTCCTGCTTACTCTGAGAAGGTCAGGACTGGGTCAGCTTGTAATTCACTTCTCCCAGGTGGGTTGCTGTGCTAGCCAAGGCTGGCTCGGTGGGAAAGCAGGACCAGAGGCAGCTCAGGAAGAGCACAGAAAGAAAGCAGTGATATTTGCTTGAGTTGAGTCGAGTGGTTAAAAACCTAAGTTGTTCTTTCCAGAGGCATTTGCTTGCTTATGACCATCTCTGAAAGCATACAGCCATTCAAGACCCAAAGAATGTTTTTGGCACCTGGACAGATAATGAAGGAGCTGATCTGTGGGGAGCCATAAAAATCTTTTTGCCGTCCCTGAAGTCAAGCCCACTCATAAAGCCAGTCCTGCCAGGGTGGGTCATGGTGTTAATAAAGCCAGGAGACCGTTTATAAATCCGAGTCCCCAGTGTTGCCAACCAAGTTGTATTTGGAGCCTGTGGAGAGGCTGCAGAGAACTTAGAGGAGGTGGGAAGCCTGATCCTACCTGGCAGAGTTCAGGAATGGCCTGATTGGCGGGGTGAAAAGTTTATCTTTTCTCTTTTCCCTGCAAAGTTCGCAGCATTTGTAAGATCTTAGCCATGAGTGCCGTCCGCAACAACCGTCTGGGCTCTGCCCTGTCTTGGAGCATCCGAGCCAGAGACGCTGCCTTTGCCACGCTGGTGTCAGACAGGTGGGTTCAACCGCTCCTGGCTTTCTAGGGACTGTCCAGGAAGTTGGGAGGCTGAGGAAGGGGCCCTGGGACAGCTGCTCAGACCTCTGGGCCTGGCCTTGCAGGTTCCTCAAGGATTACTGTGAGCGAGGCTCCTTTTCTGACCTGGATCTCATTGACAACCTAGGGCCAGCCATGATGCTCAGTGATCGACTGACCTTCTTGGGTGAGTCTCTGGTCTCTGTGCCTGGGACCTTTGGCATAGTGGTGCGTTGTGCAGAGGGGAGGGACTGATTTAGGCATCTCCAGTGTTCGTTCCTGTTGAGCCCAAACTCATAGAACCATGTATGCCGGACTCTGCAAAGCATATTTTCTAACATTTCCCAGTAATGTCAAACTTAAAAATCTGAAAGTAGTATAAGGACTAAGGAACTCCAATGTACACTTTCTCCAAATGCACCATTTTTATTTTTTATTTTTTTATTTTATTTTATTTTATTTTTTGGATTTTATGTATTAGAGACAGCATGAGCGAGAGAAGAGTGAGCAGTAATGGGGGGCAGGAAGGGCAGCGGGAGAGGGAGAAGCAGGTTTCCCGCTGAGCTGGGAGCCCTATGCGGAGCTCCATGCGGGACTAAAGCCCAGGACCCTGGGAACACTAGCTGAGCCGAAGGCAGACGCTTAACCGACTGAGCCACCCAGGTGCCCCATTCACTCAGGTTCTTGGGGGACAATCTGAAAGTAAGTTGGAGACTTTGCTCCCCTAAGAACAAGAACATCCTCTTTAGAGAACCAGCTGTCTGCACTGCTTTGATCAGATCTGCGGTCCCAGTGGTGTCTTTTTTTGTTGTTGTTGTTGTTGTTAAAGATTTTATTTATTTATTTGACGGAGAGACAGATCACAAGCAGCCAGAGAGGCAGGCAGAGAGAAAGGGGGAAGTGGAAGCTGATGTGGGGCTCAATCCCAGGACCCTGAGATCATGACCTGAGCCAAAGGCAGAGGCTTAACCCACTGATCCCCGCCCCCAGGCGCCCCCCAGCGCTGTCTTTTATTCGTTCACAAGTTCAGTTTTCCTCTCTAGTGTTTCCGCCTCTCTTGGTCCTTCTTTACCTTGACGTTTTTGAAGAGTCTGTTCTGCTTTCTTGTAGAATGGCCTCAGTTTGGATTTATCTCGTGTTTCCTCATGATCAGATTGAGACTTGCGGGTTCTTCACTCTGTTGTAGTCTCTTGTTTGGTTTGATGGTTACATTCTCCCAGGTTTGGCTCTTCAAAATGTGTTTTTTTCAGTCCCATTGGTCTCACTGGTCCATGAGTTTGGAGACAGTTCTGGAAGGATCTCCCTGCTCTGGAGTCTGGGATCTTTTTGTCTTGTTTGGACCAGAGGTGAACTAGTGCTCTGTTTTCTCACTAGGAAAGTACCGCGAGTTCCACCGATTTTATGGGGAGAAGCGTCTTACTGATGCGGCTTCTCTTCTCCTGTCGCTGATGACTTCCCAGATCGCCCCACGGTCTTTCTGGGTAATACTGCTCATAGATGCCTTGCCCCTTTTGGAAGAGAAAGAGGTACAGTTTGAATGATTTTCTTCTCTGTCTTCCAGTCCCTGACTGTGCTTCCTTCCTTAGCTGTTGTAGATGCACATCTGTACGTCCTCTCCCAAGTGGGGCCCTGCACGTGTGTGCGGATTCCCCCATAATGCCCACTCTGGAAACCCAGTATCTACACAAGAAAAGCTACTTAATTGGAAAGGAGGCAGCTGTCTACTGACAGTATTCAGCTTAGGGCCCTGACAAGAAGGGCTGGGAGTGAGCATAGGGGCTGTCTGTCCTCCCAAGGCTGCATATCCGCTCCCAGAGGGCACGCACAGAAGGCCATCTCCGAACCTGGACACATGCCCAAACCAGTGGAAACCAGCCAAGGGGAGCAGCTAAGCAAAGCAGCCTCTCTCCTCTCTCCTAGGTGGTTTTTTCAGCAGAGCAAACATACGAGTTGATGAGATGTCTAGAGGACTTCGCCTCAAGAAGGCCAGTGTGGAGAGAGCCTGGTGTTCAGCGAATCCAGGTTATTTTAGCTTTCAGATTGTTGATTCCATAATGGCAATGAGAAAAGGCTTCTTCTATTTTGGACTCCCCTGCTTCCCTCCAGAAACACTGGCCCCTTACAAACTTGTGCTTCTTGAGTTACTGCTTAACCTGTAACTAACACACCCAACTTCTTTTAGGAGGAAGCGGGGTTTCTAGGTGTTCTCATCTCTACTTTTCTGGCACTCAGTCACAGTGGGCCTTTGCCTGCAGTTCTTCTGTCAACAACTTGCTGGAAGCTCCTACTAAATGTTAAATGCCCTTGGTCTGCCTTTGGGTCAGATAGAGCCTTGCAGAGCTTTAAAGAAGGAACACTTCCTGCCGTGCCTCACGCTGGCTACCTTTGCTTTTAGGAGGACGTCGAGAACACCAAGTTGGAAATGCTGAGACTTGCTCTTGCACGCAATCTCGGCCGTGCCATTATAAAGGAAGGCTCTTTGGAAGGCTCCTGAGACCACCTGAGAGCAGCTTCAACATGGCATCTTTGTATGGCAATGTATATACATTTTTGAAAGAATAAATTTCCGCCCCCAAATAGAAGGGAAGTTCTTAAGAGTCCAGCTGGGGAGTTTTCCCTGCCTTTACTGTGAACCTGAGGTGATAGAAACTGAGAAAGTGCTGCTTCTTGAATGGAACTGATTTCTCTGTCTCCCAAGAGAAAAAGCCACTCCTAGCAGTTAGGGTGGTGAGTCCAGTGCCCTCCTTCCTACTAGCAGCTCAAGCAAGGTGGGGAGTGGTTTATTTATGCTTCAGAAATCCAGCCTTTAGAATCAACTGTAACATTTATCCTTTCTTTCCTTTAGAAAAGGTCCAGGAACCTCTACTTTCATCAACTAAAGCATCAGGTGATGCCAGCGTATTTGTCTATATTTGGAATTCCTAAGTGGCACTTCGCCCACAGTGGTGAGGATGGGGTCTGTATTAGGATTCCAGGTAGGGCAGAAATGATTTTATTTAACATGCAGCACAGCAAGGGCAGCAGATCGGTGTATGTATACAGCCATTTGTCACAAAGCAGTGACCTCAGTAGTAACACTCAGATAATTTTGATGTCTAAAGCTTATTGTAAAGGTATATTTCTATATAGTAATTCCACAAACCTTCCGAGGGCTGCAAGCAGCTGGTCTCTGGGAAGCTCTTGGGTTTCTTCTGTAAGTAGTGAAACTGATTCACCTTTGACCTGTGCTAATGAAGCCGTGAATCCTGCTCGCTCAGGGTGGAGGGACATAGTGGGGACACCTGGCAGTGCAGGGAGGGATGAGGGAGTGTGGTCTGTGCCACTTTTCCCCAGAGATGGCTCTGTGCCCTCCAGCTGAGCTCAGGCAAGCTGTGCTCTTTCCGTAGCTGGTGACCCTCACTGGCCTGTTGCCCCGTGAGGCCTCGAGGCCCTGGCCCAGTTGTACCTGATGTACGGAGCAAGTGGGACAAGCTCTTTGGAGCCGAGCACTGTTGAAATAGGGTCTGGTGACTCGATTCAACCATGGTCCCTAACCTCACCACCTCCAGAGCGCGTATCTCGCTGGCAGCTGGGGACGGCCAAGGCTCCAGGGCAGCAGGGACGGAGAGAAGTCTGGTGCAAACTGCCCGAGCCTGAGGCCTCCAGTTCCCAAACATGTGCCGCACCACAGGCCATCTGGTGGGAAGAGGGGGGCGCCCAAGCAGGAGGACACAGGGTGATGGGAGTTGTTCTCCCCTTCAGACTCGAAGGGCAGAAGAGCAGTTTATTTCATGCCAAGCAAGAGGTAGTGAGTAGGATGGCCTGTTCCCAAGGCAGGAGGCACACTTACCCCAGAAAGCTCTGGGTGCCTGCTTCCAGAGAAGGGGAAATACTGGTTCTCTTCCATTTTCTTTTGTATCCCTAGTTTTGACTGTCACAAGGCCAAGTTCTGACAGGCTAATTCCCCATTTTACTGAGATGTCCATAGGACACAGCCTGCCACCACCAGAGACAAGCACACAACGCCTCACCCGGCGGCTGTTCCAGCATGCTGCCCACGGAGGGCAGAGCCGGAGACACAGCAGTGCACCAACTCACTCGGTGCCCAGGGCTGTTGAGGGCCCCGGGGCTTTGCCTACCTCCCTGGAGGTGGGAGCAGGAGTCTGCCAGCAGGGGAAGCACAGAGTAGTGACATGGGGCTGAGGCCTCTAAGGGTGTGAGGATGTGGTCCTTGAGGGAGGGAGAGCCCCGAGTCTCTTAGGGACCTCCCCCCACCATGGCATCAGGATGCCAGCATGAGGGGGAAAGCCTGCTCCAGCCAGGGCCAGAGTGCGGAGTCTGGGGCCACTCCCCACCCCTGACAGTACATGGCCACTTCAAGTCACACAGGTAGACAAAAATCAGGTCCTTTTAGGGGGCCAAGGGAGAGAGCATCACAGCAGCAGCCCGGCTCCCAGCAGCGATGCCCAGGGCCCCTGCTCCATATCCAAGCTCCAAACGCTGTATCCAGGATGTGGAGGGTGACTGGACCGGGGAGCCCTCCCTCCCGTCTTGCAGCAGCCTGCCTGGCTTCAGTGTGATGACAGAAAGTCCTCTGGGGTCATAGGTTACCCCACTGCTCCACGGGAGGGAACTGGTCCACCTCGCCCACCTCTGTGCTCAGCTGCTCTCCCAGGGCGAAAGTCAGCCTATACCGAAGCCTCGCCTTCTCCTGTGAGGGACAGAGGACTTAAGACATGACCTTAGGGCCCTTTCCCAGCCACTCCTCCCACTTTGTCCTCATTCAGCCATTCAACCCCGGGCAGGGGAGGGACACGGCAAGTGCTACAGTATCAAAAGCAGGGGCTGAGGGCCTGATTGGGGCCGGGGTGGCGGGGGTGTAGGGTAGCCAGGGCTTCAGGCCGGAGCCGGGTTCTAGCTCACCTTCAGTGGATTGGCCAGCAGCATGACCTGGGTGATGGCTGCAGGAGGCTGGATGGGGCTAAATGGAGACAGCTCTGTCCCAGAGGGTGGCTGTAACTTCACCTTCATCGACTGAAGAGAAAGAGAAGCTCTTTTGAAGAGCATGGCAGGTGCCCCTGAGCAGGAGCCCACTAGAATCCCAGACACATGCTGCTGCCCATTGGCCTCGGGGTCCCTCAACACAGTCGGGTGCCAGGGGTACCTTTGGCACGGCGGCTTGTAGCACGATGCTCTTGATAGGCAAGGGAGCGGTATTCAGCATGGACACCACCACCACCAGCACATCAGGCCGTCCAGGTGGACACTCCTTGGCAAAGTGGAAGAGGATGCGGAAGCCATTTTTATCATAGGCTGTCACAGGAAGGGCGCTGCCTGTAAGCAGAGATCAGGTGGGTGTGGAAGGAGAAAGCCCACAGTGCCCTGAGGGGAGGGTGTGTGGTTGGGCCTGGGCTCCACCTGTGGCCAGCAAGCTCCCGGAAAGAATCAGCCAGAACCCCCGAGAGAGCACAGAGGCAACAAGCACAGGCTGAGACAGCAGGAAGACCCGTCACGTTGGGCTCTAAGAGACGGGAGAGGGGGGCAAGGAGAGCCTGGGCCCACCCCTCTCCCCGGATCACAGCAAGCGGTGGGTGCCGCCTCCCCCTCCCACCCCAAGCTTCGCACACCTACTTGGCTTGATAGATTCCAGGGGGACGTGGACACTGGCCAGGGAGAGCTCTGGCCCCTTCAGGGGGCTGCCCTGGGACTGGAAGGAAGGCGGCTGGAAGAGAGGGCTGCCAGGCCCTGGGGAGAAGGGGAGGAGAGGCCTAGCAGTGGTGCCGGCAGGGATCAGAGGGGAGGTGGTAGCCCCAGGAAAGAAGATGGAAGAGACCGGTTTCACCAGGCCTGAGGTCCTGAGAGGCAGGAAGGAGGACAAGGCAAGTCAGAGACCAGGGGCAGCTGCTGGGCCAACCCTTACACGTCCCCCAGGGCACACGGCTGGTTCTTACCACCCCTGCCCATTTCCAGAGTCCAGCCAGTAGACCCAAAAGGAACATCCCCGGCCCCTCCGGAGCTGCTCTCTGGTTCTGTCAAGCCCAGGCCCAGCCCCCCTGACCCCCACATATCCCACTCATTACACTCTGGTCTCTTCAAGAAGATGGTCAAGGGCATCTAGCTGGTGCAGGCTGCTATCCCCCAAAGCGGAGCCATGGTACCCGAGGGCTGTGGACTCAGCCTTCGGGGCCGGGGCCAGTCCAGTCGGGAACAAGAAGGAGCCTGCTCTGGGGGCAGGAACACTGGCTGGGACCACAGGAGCTGGGAAGGGAGGAGGCAGCGGGGCCTGAGAGCTGCCTGCAGAGGGTGCTGAGGCCGGGACAAGAGGCCCGTCTGAGGGGCTGCAGGAAGCACTCCCAGGCTTGGGGCTGCAGAAGTCCAGGTCTGGCTGCTCGTTCTGCTCGGAGAAGAAAGTGTGCGTGAGCCAAGGGCAGGGAGGGCTCCTGTAGTTGGTGGGTTTAGGGTCTCCAGCTGGAGGCCCTACTAGGACTGCACTGGACTAGCAGCCCTCTGAAGGGCTCGGGCCCGCCCTTATGGGATCAGTGTTCTCCAGTGCAGCTGGGGCAGTGCCGCAGCCAACCACCTCGGAGGATGAGCTGGGAAAGAGGACGCCTGGGGAGCTGGCTGAGCACTTTGGTGCCGTCCCTACCTGGAACAGGGACCACTGGCTGTTTGCAGCTGACTCTTTGGGAGGAGCAGTGGGGGCTGGGTCAGCAAGGCCTGGAAACAAAAGACAAAGGTGAAGGGGCTCTGGCCCTGGGGTAGCTCCATTCATGACAAAAGTCGCTGACAAAAGGGTGACAGGTGGGGACAAAGTATTTTTCCAGGTAGCCTCCAGAGGGAGAGGGATGCTCTCCAGTCCTTTCGCAGTGGGGGAGGCCTCCAGGGGAGAGGGGACAAAGCAAGACCGTGCACCGTGTCCATTCTGGAGTTTGTGCGCACACCGTACTGCAGGCCTGAGCACACTGAACTTGACCCTCCTCACACCTGAAGTCCCCTTCCCTGCCCCTGCTAAGTCCATGAGGCATTCCCGATTCTTCCCAATTCCGCATGCCCTTGGCTCTGCTGAGCCCATCAAGAGAAGCCCTTCACAGCCTCCCTCCGAGACGCACCCAAGCAGAGCAGCTCCTCGTCCAGCAGGCAGAGGGCGTTGCTTGTGCTGTTGGGTCCCGCGGTGGCTTCAGCCTGGCTGGACGAGTGGCTGCGCCCAGGACCCGAGGTCTGAGGGGGCGGAGGGAGGATAGGGATGCCAGAGGCCAGTGGGGCAGCCGCTGGGGCCGACGTGGAGGATGAACTGCTGGGTGTGTCCAACTCAGCCAGGTCGATGAGAGTGCCCTGGTTCCTAGAGTGGTTTCCTGGAGGGGTGGAAGGAAGGGGACACGAATGATTGGGGGCCACTCTAGTGGCTGCACAGCAGGAAGCAGAACCCTGACTACAGCCTCCAGCCTAATACTGAAGAAAAGCAAGCAAAGAAAACCCTATCCACAGCTCCTGGCCCCTGGGGAGCCGGAGGGGCACCTGGAAGGGCTTAGAATCCCCTTGGGCCGCGTGGGATGACATGCAGGTCACGCACTCATGGCTGGCTGGTGGGGCCTGGGGCTGGTCTGGATGGGTCCAAAATGGGGAACTAGAACATTTTACCTTCCGCATCTGGCAGGGCCGCATCTGGCACGGCCGCGTCGGCCATCTCACCATTGATAACCTGCTCTTCAACAACTGTTTTGTAAGAGTTGATGACCCGGGAGAGGTTGTCGCTGGCCTGGAGGATGTCCCCTAGAGCAGAAAGAGGTACTTCTCACTCTTGGCCATGACACTCCCCCATCCCCCTGGCCAAATCCAAATTCCTAGGTCATCCTTGTCAACTATTCTTTGACTCACCCAAACTGTTGTCGTTGTCCTCCGTCTCACTGGCTAGTTTGAATAACGTCCGCCTCTTATTCTCACACCGATCAAACAGCTCCTGAAAGAATCCCAGACCTTAAAGTGAGCCACAGGGTCCCCTGGCAATGACCTAATTCAGTGTCCATGTCCAGAAAGTCCAGGGCTCCCCTACTGCCACAGTCAGTCACTGGTGGCACGGGGCTCTGAGGACGCCTTTTCCTGCTGCCAGCTTCCACTGCACGGTGTCACCTAGGATATCTGCTTAGAACCAGGGGAAATAGGTCCCTTCCTGTCCCTGAGGCCGGCATATGGCTCAGAATTCAGAGCACGGAGCCAAGGACTAAGGTGCGGCATCAGGCGCACGTGGTGGGTGTCTCTGCCCAAATGTTGCTGAGGCAGAAGGAGTGGCAGAGAGAAGTGAGCCCCAGGGGCGGGTCCGCAGAGTCCCCCAGACTTGGGTGTACCCGCAGCTCTTCTGTCCTGAGTAGGTTAGCCACAGCAGGTGTCAAGGCGGGGTACCACCCCCAAACCTGGTTGCTATGCTGATTAACAAGGAACAGCAGGGCTGGTACTGGGCACAGGCTGGCTGGCTTTCCCGGAGTGTGGCTCTCCTGGGATGTGCCTACCTTCATGAGCTCTTTATCGGCCTCCGAAGAGTCCTCTTTGCTATAATGAAGCAGCATCTCACTGAGCAGCTTTACGTTGTTATTAACCTCCTCTAAAGTGTGCAGACGCTTGGTCACCTTCTGGATCCGCGCCTCATCCTACAGCAAAGATGATCAAGGAGAAAAAGCTTAACCAGACTAATCCCACCGGCCCCCGTGCCCCACAGCAAGGATTGCACCAGAGAACGTGAGCAAAAGCTAGTCCCAGTGGAAGCTCCTTTTAATGCATGGTTCTTGGGAACCGTAAGGCCTCAGTCTCAACCTAGTTTGTCTTTTAAAATAACGGCCCGCCCCCAACCCTCAACTGCCCCCATCCGTGCACGCTCCTCTAACCCATTCTACCCCCCAAGCTCCAGGGCGCCTCCCGCTCTCTGGCCTCAAGCTGGGGGAAGGGACTCTTGCTCTGTGGTCACGGGTTCCTCCACCCCAAGGCCCTGGGCCACTTACTTCCTTCACCATGGACTTGATGAGCTTGTTGGCCTCTTGTAGGTCATCTGGGTTTTTGCTTTTCAACAACTTGGCTAAAAGCTGGAAGAGGAGGTACCAAAGGGAAAGGTAGCACCCCACCTGGAGAGACCACAGAGGAACCCCTCCCTCCCCATCCGAGGACGCTATTGACTGGGGTGTGCTTTACCTTGGATTTCTCCTCATCATCAAAAACAGGATTCTTGGGACGAGGTGGTGGAGACGGGATCAGCGTCCTGTCCACAGGGATCAGTGGGTCAGACTGCACGATGCCTGACAGGAACACAAGGGGGGCAGAGTGCTGGCTCACGCTGGGGTCATTCTGATGCCTTTTCTCACACAGCAAGGCAAGGCCCATCCCTGGGATGACGGCCTGCCAGGGCTTGGCCCATCAAACTGCAGCTGAGCCCTTCTTGTCCTCAGGAGGAAGAAAGGGACGGCAGACACCCCTCATTCTTCCTGGCCTTAGCCAGCTTGGGGATGCTTTAAGGCTGAGGGAAGGCAAGCACATACCCTGTCTCTTCAGCATGTGGTAAGCATCCTTGATCTTGGTTTCTTCCGGCAGGGCCAACGTCCAGCTGTAAAGCAGCTCGATAACCTTGGTCTTCACCTTCTCAGACACCCTGTCCCCTAGGTACTAAGAGGCAAAAGGAAATGGGAAAACCTCATAACTGCCGTCCGGAGGCAGGAACCGTGGGAATGAAAGGCTGCTAGTCCGCTCCAGTCTTCAGGCCCACCCCAAACCAGCAGGTGTTAGGTATGTGTGACAGTGTGGGGACGGGAGGAAACCACCCATGACAAAGCTGTCTCAGGGATACAGTCTGCTCAGGCAGGGAGCCGGGAGCCCGCCACTGCGTTTCCACGCACAATCTCCCAGAGACAATAGCATTTTATCTCAAAGGAATTAATGAGAATGTCTTAACTATGAAAAACCGCTCCCTGTGCTTTAAGTGGTGCCCAGAGCAAAAGCCACACCAGCGTGCCACAGAAGCTGAGAAGCTGAGCCTAACTCTGTAAGACGGACCCAAGTGACCACCGTCCCCAGGAGCCCTAACTCCGTCCGTAAGACGGACCCCAGTGACCAGCCCCCAGGGGCCCTAACTCCGTCCGTAAGACGGACCCCAGTGACCAGCCCCCAGGGCACACCGTACTGCAGGCCTGAGCACACTGAACTTGACCCTCCTCACACCTGAAGTCCCCTTCCCTGCCCCTGCTAAGTCCATGAGGCATTCCCGATTCTTCCCAATTCCGCATGCCCTTGGCTCTGCTGAGCCCATCAAGAGAAGCCCTTCACAGCCTCCCTCCGAGACGCACCCAAGCAGAGCAGCTCCTCGTCCAGCAGGCAGAGGGCGTTGCTTGTGCTGTTGGGTCCCGCGGTGGCTTCAGCCTGGCTGGACGAGTGGCTGCGCCCAGGACCCGAGGTCTGAGGGGGCGGAGGGAGGATAGGGATGCCAGAGGCCAGTGGGGCAGCCGCTGGGGCCGACGTGGAGGATGAACTGCTGGGTGTGTCCAACTCAGCCAGGTCGATGAGAGTGCCCTGGTTCCTAGAGTGGTTTCCTGGAGGGGTGGAAGGAAGGGGACACGAATGATTGGGGGCCACTCTAGTGGCTGCACAGCAGGAAGCAGAACCCTGACTACAGCCTCCAGCCTAATACTGAAGAAAAGCAAGCAAAGAAAACCCTATCCACAGCTCCTGGCCCCTGGGGAGCCGGAGGGGCACCTGGAAGGGCTTAGAATCCCCTTGGGCCGCGTGGGATGACATGCAGGTCACGCACTCATGGCTGGCTGGTGGGGCCTGGGGCTGGTCTGGATGGGTCCAAAATGGGGAACTAGAACATTTTACCTTCCACATCTGGCAGGGCCGCATCTGGCACGGCCGCGTCGGCCATCTCACCATTGATAACCTGCTCTTCAACAACTGTTTTGTAAGAGTTGATGACCCGGGAGAGGTTGTCGCTGGCCTGGAGGATGTCCCCTAGAGCAGAAAGAGGTACTTCTCACTCTTGGCCATGACACTCCCCCATCCCCCTGGCCAAATCCAAATTCCTAGGTCATCCTTGTCAACTATTCTTTGACTCACCCAAACTGTTGTCGTTGTCCTCCGTCTCACTGGCTAGTTTGAATAACGTCCGCCTCTTATTCTCACACCGATCAAACAGCTCCTGAAAGAATCCCAGACCTTAAAGTGAGCCACAGGGTCCCCTGGCAATGACCTAATTCAGTGTCCATGTCCAGAAAGTCCAGGGCTCCCCTACTGCCACAGTCAGTCACTGGTGGCACGGGGCTCTGAGGACGCCTTTTCCTGCTGCCAGCTTCCACTGCACGGTGTCACCTAGGATATCTGCTTAGAACCAGGGGAAATAGGTCCCTTCCTGTCCCTGAGGCCGGCATATGGCTCAGAATTCAGAGCACGGAGCCAAGGACTAAGGTGCGGCATCAGGCGCACGTGGTGGGTGTCTCTGCCCAAATGTTGCTGAGGCAGAAGGAGCGGCAGAGAGAAGTGAGCCCCAGGGGCGGGTCCGCAGAGTCCCCCAGACTTGGGTGTACCCGCAGCTCTTCTGTCCTGAGTAGGTTAGCCACAGCAGGTGTCAAGGCGGGGTACCACCCCCAAACCTGGTTGCTATGCTGATTAACAAGGAACAGCAGGGCTGGTACTGGGCACAGGCTGGCTGGCTTTCCCGGAGTGTGGCTCTCCTGGGATGTGCCTACCTTCATGAGCTCTTTATCGGCCTCCGAAGAGTCCTCTTTGCTATAATGAAGCAGCATCTCACTGAGCAGCTTTACGTTGTTATTAACCTCCTCTAAAGTGTGCAGACGCTTGGTCACCTTCTGGATCCGCGCCTCATCCTACAGCAAAGATGATCAAGGAGAAAAAGCTTAACCAGACTAATCCCACCGGCCCCCGTGCCCCACAGCAAGGATTGCACCAGAGAACGTGAGCAAAAGCTAGTCCCAGTGGAAGCTCCTTTTAATGCATGGTTCTTGGGAACCGTAAGGCCTCAGTCTCAACCTAGTTTGTCTTTTAAAATAACGGCCCGCCCCCAACCCTCAACTGCCCCCATCCGTGCACGCTCCTCTAACCCATTCTACCCCCCAAGCTCCAGGGCGCCTCCCGCTCTCTGGCCTCAAGCTGGGGGAAGGGACTCTTGCTCTGTGGTCACGGGTTCCTCCACCCCAAGGCCCTGGGCCACTTACTTCCTTCACCATGGACTTGATGAGCTTGTTGGCCTCTTGTAGGTCATCTGGGTTTTTGCTTTTCAACAACTTGGCTAAAAGCTGGAAGAGGAGGTACCAAAGGGAAAGGTAGCACCCCACCTGGAGAGACCACAGAGGAACCCCTCCCTCCCCATCCGAGGACGCTATTGACTGGGGTGTGCTTTACCTTGGATTTCTCCTCATCATCAAAAACAGGATTCTTGGGACGAGGTGGTGGAGACGGGATCAGCGTCCTGTCCACAGGGATCAGTGGGTCAGACTGCACGATGCCTGACAGGAACACAAGGGGGGCAGAGTGCTGGCTCACGCTGGGGTCATTCTGATGCCTTTTCTCACACAGCAAGGCAAGGCCCATCCCTGGGATGACGGCCTGCCAGGGCTTGGCCCATCAAACTGCAGCTGAGCCCTTCTTGTCCTCAGGAGGAAGAAAGGGACGGCAGACACCCCTCATTCTTCCTGGCCTTAGCCAGCTTGGGGATGCTTTAAGGCTGAGGGAAGGCAAGCACATACCCTGTCTCTTCAGCATGTGGTAAGCATCCTTGATCTTGGTTTCTTCCGGCAGGGCCAACGTCCAGCTGTAAAGCAGCTCGATAACCTTGGTCTTCACCTTCTCAGACACCCTGTCCCCTAGGTACTAAGAGGCAAAAGGAAATGGGAAAACCTCATAACTGCCGTCCGGAGGCAGGAACCGTGGGAATGAAAGGCTGCTAGTCCGCTCCAGTCTTCAGGCCCACCCCAAACCAGCAGGTGTTAGGTATGTGTGACAGTGTGGGGACGGGAGGAAACCACCCATGACAAAGCTGTCTCAGGGATACAGTCTGCTCAGGCAGGGAGCCGGGAGCCCGCCACTGCGTTTCCACGCACAATCTCCCAGAGACAATAGCATTTTATCTCAAAGGAATTAATGAGAATGTCTTAACTATGAAAAACCGCTCCCTGTGCTTTAAGTGGTGCCCAGAGCAAAAGCCACACCAGCGTGCCACAGAAGCTGAGAAGCTGAGCCTAACTCTGTAAGACGGACCCAAGTGACCACCGTCCCCAGGAGCCCTAACTCCGTCCGTAAGACGGACCCCAGTGACCAGCCCCCAGGGGCCCTAACTCCGTCCGTAAGACGGACCCCAGTGACCAGCCCCCAGGGAACCCTCCCCACCCGCATGCACCCGCACCTGCTGCCACATCACTTCTCACCATCAGGCCCGGAGTCCGTGAGAGGGCTGCCCGCCCCGTGGCCTCCTGGCCCCTGTGCTGCCCTCAGGGCCTAGTCCCCAAGGCCCGGACATGGGCAGCTCTCTAAAGACAGCTCTGTGGAGAGGTGGCTGCACCGTGAAGCCAGTAGGATGGGGGGCGGGGGACGCAAAGGAGTTCCCGAATGAGGACGCTGCCCCGACTGACCTTTGGAGAGACGACTTTGATTAACTCATTCAAAAACCGGAACTTGCCCACTTCGTTACGAAACCTCCTCCCGCAGTTCTTCGCGCACGCCTCCAGCACCTGCGGCCACAGCACGGGGTGCTCAGCCAGGACCCACACCGAGGCGCCTCCACAGTGTTCCCTTCCTCGGCTTCCGACTCTGTCAAGCTGGGTTTTTCAGCCACGCCACTGCTGACGTGCTGGGCCGGTCACTCTTTGCGTGGAAGCTTGTCCTGTGCATTAGAAGATGTCTAGACACATCCTCTAGATGCTAGCAGCACCCCATGAGGTGACAACCCAGTGTCTCCAGACACTGCCAGATGTCCCCTGGGGAACAAAAGCGCCCCAGCTGAGAACCACAGCTGTAAGGCCTTCGCTCTACAGTGCAAACAGGTGCGCATGTGCGCCGGCCAGAAGCCCAGGGTCCTTTCCTTCTCAGCGTCTTTTCCCACGCCCCAAATGAAGTCAGGGGAGAGCCCCGGGGGTCCTGTGAGCGCGGCTATGCTCTGAATCCTCTAAGACCTGCCGCTTGGTGTGGTACCTTGAGTAGGAACAAGCATTACTGTAGCTACAGAACAAGTTACACTCGCCGACTCTTCTTTAGTTGGCCAACTCTTTAAACAGCAAAACAGCTCTGTCAGCATCTCTGCAAGATGCCACCGTTGAGCTCCAGCCCGGGCTCAGGGCCCTGGCCTCTGGCCCCCGCCCTCAGTCACTCGGCCTCTCCCACTGGACCAGCAGCCCAGCCTGCAGTGACCGCACCGCGGGCCTCTCTGCAGCCTCGGTGCCGCACGCAAGGGCACACACATTTGTGGCATAGTTTATGGAACACGTTCCGGACACTAGTACCAAGAACCTTCAGCTGCCATAGGACGTGAGCCCTGAAAACCTCTGAGAGCCCAGTGGGTGCTCGAGGAAAGGCCTGGGCTCGTTAAAATCCACCGTCAGAGCGGAAGGACCTACCGTCAGCGCCTGGACCGCCTCCCATTCCTGCGGAGACTGGATCTTATGGGCCAGCAGTCGGACAGCGATCTGCGGCCTGCGAGGAAGCAGACCAGGCTTTCAGGCACTGAGCCCGGGGCTACGCGCCGGGCCCTCCTTGGCCTGTCGGGTTCTCCAGCAACACCCCCCCCTGTCCCCGAACTCCCTGGAGACTCACCCTTCAAGCTCTTTGTTGATCTGATCACAGAAGCCAATTATGTATTCCCAGTCCTCCTGGCGGTTGGAAGGATTGGTGGCCTTATCTTGGGACAGAGCAAAGTGGAGAACAACTGTTATTGTTATAAAGAGCAAGGAGGACATAATGGAGGGTTTTTTTAGGCACTGATATGCAGCTGAGTTTGTTTCCAGGGGCGCCTGGGTGGCTCAGTCGTTAAGCGTCTGCTTTCAGTTCAGGTTAGGACCCCAGCATACTGGGATCAAGCCCTGTGTTGGGCTCCCTACTCAGCAGGAAGCCTGCTTCTCCCTCTCCCACTGCCCCTGGTTGTGTTCCCTCCCTCCCGGTCTCTGT